TTTTATATTACATTAAAATTTAATATATATATATATAATTTAATAAAGATATTATAGTAATTTTGAAAAAAAAAATCACATGTCAATTTTCTATGAAGTACTCATAAAAACATTTCCATAATTATAATATTAGAGACATTATAGTAATTTTTTATCAATTATTGAAAAAGGTATTTTTGTAATTTTGGAATGAGGGGCATTGTAGTAATTTTAACTAATTATAGTAGGTAGGTGATAGAGCTAAAATATATAGAGATTTATGAGTTCAATTTAGTTGAAAATTTTAAATTTTGCTTGAATTTGGAATGTTTAATTTTCATTTTTTGGATTTTTAAGTTTTTCTACTTGCAATAGGATTTTTATTTATTTTCATGCAAAATCCATGCAAGATTCAAACAAGATATATTTTTATAATATTTGACCATGCATATTAAAGATGTAACCAAATTCTACTTAAGTAGGTTTCTTAAATTCAACTTGAAGTAGAACCTAGTGGTAATTAGACTTCTATTCGATTTTCTTAAATCTAAGAGGACTTCAACATGCATGTATGATAATTGAAGACTTTTAATCAAGGACTTTATGAAGCGTTTGGCCAAAAGAGTTTTTATTCAACCATGGCTCTTTTGATCACCATTAAAAAGTTATATTTCCAGGACATTTTACAAGATTAATTTTAAGAGTTTGGATGAAAAACAACAAGGTCTTAGAATTCAAGATAGACGAAACTCTTAAAGATTATAAGATCAAGATGTATGCAAATGTGATGAATGGTCAAGATTGTATTTCAAGAAGATTGTATTTCAAGAAGCATGTTCGGCCAAGACTCTTCAAAGTTCAAAAGTTCAATGTTCAGCCAACACTACAAGATTAAAATGAGTTTTATTCTTTGGAGTTTAGATAAAATTATACTTGTAATCTTAATCTTTACCTCACAGCTAAACCCTCCATCTATGAATAAAGAGGCTAGCTCTTATATTTCACGTCTCACACAACATCCTACTTGACATTATTCTTCTCTCTTTTTTTTTTAGTTTTTTTGTATTAGGCTAAGGTGACATATTAGCCGTTACAATAATTTTAGTTTTCTTAAATTCTTTTCAATACAATCATTCTTTTGTTTTCAAGATCAAGTTCTTTAAATCTTTATTTATTTTTGGTTTACAAGTTGTTTTAAGCAATCTTTCCTTTATTACAAGTTTTGGCTATTTTTCTTGTTCCTATTCTAAGTTTCAATTTTCATGTAACTTTGCTATATTCTTTCTTTTATGCTTTTATTCTATCCAACAATCTCAAATCTCTCTTATTTTCAAGTGTTCAATATTTTATTCTCTAGAATTAGTTCATTCAACCAAATCAAAATACTTTTCAAGTGATAGGTGGATAAGTAAATTTAGGCATATACAATCTTTCTTTCTTTGTTTTCTTTAATAGCAATCAAATCAAGTTTTCATTAATTTAAATATAAGGAGTTAATTTGTCAACTTTGGTATTTGAAGCCACCTAACAATTCAATTCTATAATCCTTGTGGGACGATACTATATTTCATTACTTTATTACTTGATTACGAGTGTGCACTGCAAGTATTATAAAAGTAACAATTAACTTTTTGGCACCGTTGTCAAGGATTATAACGGTGTTTGATTCAATTTAAATAATGATTTTTTATTCCTTTGTAATCTAAACATTTACTTTCACTTGTTTCAAACTGCTTTGATCTTTTTTGTTTGTATGCTCAGATTTAAAAATGTTGACCTACCTCCATTCAACAAAAAAAAAAAAAAAATCAAAAGAACTCTAAGACATTTAAAAAGAGAGCAAATAACAACACATACACTAATTCAAATAGTGAATGCAAACAATGAAGGTCAGAGGACATTGAGGGATTATGCTGCCCCTAATGCTAATGGTTTTCATCCATCCATAAAAAGGTCTATCATACAAGCAAACAATTTCGAAATCAAACATTCTATTATTTAAATGATCCAAACTTCTATACAATTTGATGATTTACCAAGCGATGATTCAAATCTTCATTTGTCTAATTTTTTTGAATTATGTGATACTTTTAAATATAATGGTGTTTTAAGTGATGCAATTAAACTAAAACTTTTTTCTTTTTTTCTCAAGAACAAGGCAAATAGTTGGTTAACTTCTTTACCATTTGGATCAATCACAACTTGGGAAGATTTGGTTCAAAAGTTTCTTGCTAAATTCTTTCCACCTACTAAGACAACCAAGCTAAAGAAAAAAATAACAACTTTTATGCAATTTGATGGTGAAAATCTCTATGATGCTTGAGAGAGATTCCAAGAGCTATTGAGAAAGTGTCCACATTATGGTCTCCTTCAATGGCTACAAATACAATTTTTTTATAATGAGTTGACACCATCCATTAGAATTACATTAGACTCAGTGGCTAAAAGAGCTATTATTAGCAAAACTGTTAAGGAAGCACTTGAATTGATTAAGGAAATGGTAGCCAACAACTATCAATGGGAAATGGAAAAAAAAGTACACAAAAAAGATGCTGGTGTGTATGAACTTGATGCATTTACTTTCATAAATTCACAATTAGCAAATTTGACTAAGAAAATTGAAATCTTAAAAACCCCATTTCAAATCGCCCTTGTTAATGCCATACCAAACCCATTTGTGTTTTGTGAAATTTGTGATAAACCTCATGCTAGTGAAAAGTGCAAATTTAGAATGAAAATGGTCTAATTTGCCTAACATTAGCCAACCCATGAAAAATCACCCATCCTTGAAGAAGTAGTTTCCCAAAAAGCTACCTTACAAGATCAAGCTAAATCTATTAGGAGTTTAGAACTACAAATTACCTAGTTAGCTGAAAACCTATGAGTCATCTAGTATATGAAAAGATAGTTTCCATCCCTCGAAAAATGGGAAAACTTTGGCTGAGCAACCAGTTACTTAAAAGATGACCTTCAAAGAACCAATTGAGAAGGTGATTGTAGAAAATGAAAAACAAAGAATCACCTACGAAAAGAGAACCCCCATAATCAACCAATCTAACAATCTCATTCCCATAAAGTTTATATTGGTAAAAAAAGAGAAACAATTTGTAAGATTTGCCAAAATCTTTAAAAACCTACAAGTCACTATTCTCTTTACCAAGCCACTGAACACATGCCTAAGTTTGCCAAAATTTTGAAGGGGATTTCATCCAAAAATATATGATGGGAAGACTATAAAACAATAGTAGTAGCTTAAGAATATAGTACTATTTTGCAAAAAAAGATACCACCAAAACTTAAAGATCTAGAGAGCATTACGATCCCTTACATTATTGGTAATCAATATTTTGAAAAAAGCATTGTGTGATATTGATACAAGAGTTAACGTAATGCCTTTATCTATTTTTAGAAAAATTGGTGAAAGAGATTTTGAACCAACCATAATGACTATCTAACTGGCCGATAGGTCCCTTAAACATCTTAAAGGCATAGTGAAAAATTTAATGGTATGAATAGGAAAACTAACATTCCTAGCTAACTTCGTAGTTTTAGATATTGAAGAAAATGCTAAACTACCGGTTATATTAGGAAAACCCTTCTTGAAAACTGGAAAAGACATGATTGATATGAAAAAAAAGAAACTTCCAATGAGAATGCATGATCAAGAGCAGATTTTTAATGTGAAGACATCTAAAAAGGTGAAAATCTAAGTAAATTTTGAAGAAACTAGACTTATAACACTATACACTGGACCAGGAAGAGACAACAAGTTGGGGTCATCTACTCAAAATCTTAAACCATCTATTGAGGAACCATTAGCATTGGAGTTGAAGCCCATGTTAAACTTGTAAATAAAATTGTTAATTTAAATTAATAAATATTTTTCTTCAACACATAAAATATATAATTTGAAGAAAATATACAAATTTACTCATTTTCTTTTCACTTTTTATTTCTTTTTTAAAAAAATTCCTACAATACTTTTTGCTTTTTGGGTTCCAAATAATATAAGATAATATTTGGTATCTTTTTGTAAAACCACCATAATAATATAATCACAAAATAATCTTATTACCAATATAGTTGTAAAACTAGTGATTTCAAATCCCTCTATTTAATTAACAATTATTAATTCTTTGAAATTAAATATTAGTATTATTAAAAATTAAATATTATTTCATTTAAAAATACCAAAATAATTATGCATATTATAATAATTATACAAATTAATAATTTTAAAATTGTTTAAAGATAATTTGTAAAATATTATAATTTTATTTTATAATAAAATATTATCAAATTATTAAATTATTAAATATATATTTATAGATAAATTAATTTTTGTAATATAAATTATATAAAAAATATTTGAATAAAAAAATAAAACCAATCTATTAAATTCATAATAAAAAATAAAAAATTATATTATATAAAATATTAAAAAAAGTAAAAAAGAAAAAAACTCAAATTACTTTTAAATTTATTTCTTTTAAATTTATTAGAATAAATATTAATTTAAAAATATAAAAATTAATTATTTTTAAAATACAGTAAATTTTTAATTTACATATTAAATAGATAAAATTAATTATTATTAATTTTACATCTCATTCCATTTTGATAATAAAAATTTCCTTCCCTTTTGTATAGAAATTACATTTCTCAAAGACAGTATCTAATCACTCCGACTCGTTAGATCCCTGATGCTTACCAAGCATAATAAATTAATCACCATTTATAGATCACCATAATTTTTGAAATAATCACCCTATACCAAACAGTACTTAAATTAATTAGGCATCAGGGTTAAAAATTGCTTCCAGGAATACTCATTTTATCTTCTTTTAATAAGTAAATAGTCTAACCATTATCAAAACACACCAAAAACACAAGTCAACAAAGGTAAAGAGATGGACCCTAAAGAACAAGACCTCAAAGTGGTACAACGACATTGCGCTCGTGGATTTCATTGGGAGCAGCTGCCTTTGTATCTGCCATTGTAAATCTGAAAGCTATAACCTCAAATTTTGATAGAAAAAGGAGAAGCATTAAATAAAAGTATATGAAACCGAAAAAATGTTCAAAGTACAACCAAGACAAAGAATAAGGAGAGAGGCAACATTTCAGCCCATCCATAAGAGTTAAAGTGGCTGAACAGAAAAAACAAAAGTAAATTCTACATTCCATAGGCACCTAGATCTATTCTTAACGGCCAGCTAATTTCTGAGATCTGAAGGGACTTTGGTCCTCAAACCTCTATTTTTGAATAGAACACCTCATAGTGCTTCTATCATTTGAGTTTAGAAACCCACCCAATAAGTGCCACCTGACTGTATTTTAATTTCCACAAAATGAGATTCTACCAAGCTTTTGAAAAAATAACGCAATTTACTGAGCAACAGAGACAGCAGCCATTCACAATAAAGCATCCATCTATACCTTCAAAGAAAGTTCCACCTCCATCTTTGAAACAAATTCTTCAGAACAATTCTGCACAAGGGCATTTATTCAGTTGGCAATTTATAGATATAAACAAGTAAAATGTCAATCCAATAACAAATCACAATCACAGCTACATTCACCAACAGATGGAGAGGTGCAACTCACAATTATGCTTTCCCCCTTGTTCTTGTAACAACAGATATACACAAGTAAAATATCTCAACTTACAGTTTCCAAAATCCATATTACTTATAGTTAACAAAAATGTAAACTCACAATTATATTCATGTAAAAATGCAAAAAATATACATGGCTGACAGAACCTACTATGCATTCCCCCTTGTTTTGGTAAAAAGTAAGAATTGAACTAGCATTTCTGCAACCCATCAAACACTTAAACGTTCTAAAACCTACAAGTTTCAGAAAATACCTAGACCAAAATGTTTTAGGGTGTATGGCTCAATTGGCTAAAGGTGGCATGAACTTCGTAGATCCTACATGTACATTCTAGTTTCAAATTTAACCAATAATTAAGAAACAGGAAATGAAAATGATGGAAAGAGACAACAAACTTTCCTTTAGAAAAATTCCAACAATTATTGTTGTTTCCACCAGCAAGTCTTATAAAAACTATAAAATTATCTGTGGGAATCTGCGGTCTTGTAAAAGTTAGACTCACAAACTATTCAAAATGTGAAACTCAATGATAAGCAACGCTATTTATCTTTATTCTCCCTTTTCCACCCCTTCTGATTTTCATTTATGCTACCATGACTTTAAAATGCTCCAATCACGCAAATAAACCTCAAATAATCCTATCTTTGCAATCCCAATAAATCCAGGTTGACCAACAATATAATTCAATCCATCTCACAACTAAATGGATACACAGCCCTATTAGTTAAACCATAATTTTTTTTTATTCGCCATCAATAATGCTGTTTATTTAAAGACCATTATAATGCAACATTATAAGCCTGGAAGCTCACTCCACTATTGAAATCCAGCAAGATCTTCTTTTTTGACTTCAAAAGAGAATCAGAACTTCAACCCAGACAATGTTCAAAAAATATGAAAACTTAAGAACTAAAATTTTAGACTGCCCTCATTAACTGTCAAATCCACTAATTAAAGTCATCCTACAACAGCAGAAATAAAAGAAAAAAAATAACAAGAGTTACTGCCTTGTAAAAATTAAATCAGAACAAAGTACTTATCAGGCGTAAAAGAAGACAATGAAATAGGGTTTATAACGTAAAAATCAGTAAAGATCAAAACAGTCAATTCCTTGTCTAAAAATACAATATCTAGAGCTATTCTTTATTTTAAGCCAATGATATGTTATATTTATACAAAGAAGATTAAGGCCTGCCAGTGAATAGTGAAGTTAACTTATTGGATTTTATCTGTTTCATAATAACTTGGTTAAGATTCTAATTATCCTTAAATTCAATAAGAAAATCAAACATACTATCCACTAGAACTGGGCCGATTCCCACTAGATCTGGCCCGACTAATCAAATTCAGATCTGATTCACCGCCTTTTCTTATCTTCTCATAACCACTTGATTTAGGCCGCCCATCTTCTGAGTACCGACCACCTGAGCCGAAATGCTTATGTTCTTTTTTCAAGAAAACTTCCGGTTGAAGCTTCTCCTCTTTTCCCACAAAACCCGGCCTAAGATGTGGTGGAACAAATCGATCCGGTTTCGAAGACCCGGAAACCGATATAACTTCCTTCTCCTGATCCGGAACTGATAATACAGAACCTGTTCGACCCAGAGGACGCAGAGAAATCTGATCATCAACCAGATTAGAGAGCGGTGTTTGATCGGGAGCTAGAGCTGACCGGGCTTGAGGCTGTTTAGGCGGTGTTGAGGAGTCAATAGGATGATTTGAAATGGGCTTGGGAGAGGTACGGGTTAGGACGAGCATGCGCCCATGAGTTTTGGCGTGGGATGAGATGGAAGAATAAGATGGAAAAGAAGACTGGTTTTGATGATGGGTTTGAGAATTATTGGAGCTGGAGGAGGTCAGGTTTTTCTCAAGAACATGATTAAAATTAATGGAGGAGTATTTGTTGGTTCTTGCCATTCACCACTTCCTCGCCACCACTTTTGGCTTTTTTGGGTTTTGCTTTTAAGAAGCGTTTATTATTCGGTATTCTGTTTTTGGATGTGGAATATCGTGAAAATCAGAAAACAATTAGAACTAGGCTGTAGAATCTCTCGGAAGGAAGCTTGCTTCAAAAGAATGGTGTTTTTGTACTAGAAAGGCATTTTTGTATGGCTGTGTTTTTTTTCTGTGGGCTGTCCTGTTTTTGATATGCTGCTGACGGAACTATGGATTTGGAAGGTCTTTTCTTTTTTTGGTTACAATGGATTTGGAAGTTTGGACTAACGGGGGAGAGTGAATGGTGGGGTCCATGGATAGATCTCAGCCACTACAATTAAGAAATTTGTTTGATTAAAATAACAAAAAATTTGTAATTAAGAAATTTGTTCTTTTTCGCACAAAAACAAAAATTTTATAAATTTTATTATTTTATTTAAATAAATTTTTATATTTTTATTATATTTAAATAAATTTTTAAATTTTATTTTGTATCTAAATAACTCTTTCACTTTAAATTTGTATGTATAAATTTATATATTTTTATTATATTCAAATAAATTTTTAAATTTTAATTTTCACTCAAAAAATTTATTAACTTTTAATTTGTATCTAAATAAGTTCTTAACTTTTATTTTACACTTAAATAAGTCTTTAATATAAATTATTTTTTGTTTAAAATCAGAATTTATTTGTATATAAAATAAAGAATAAAAGTTTATTTGAATAAAATAAAAACATAAAAATTTATTTAAAAAAAATAGATCAGAGACTTTTTTTTAGTATTTTTATCTTTTTGTTTTCATTAAATACATTTTTAGTTTAATTTTTACTTTTGATTTATCTTTCATTTTTAAGGTATTTTTTAAACTTTAAACTGTTAAAATTGAACCCTAAAATTAAAGATTTAATATTCTATTAACACAAAATATGATTACAACTTAAGGCAATGTTTTATATCACTTTTAAAATTATAATAAAGATTTAATTATCATGATAAAGTAATTTTATCATTAATGATCTTAGATTATCATATTGCATAAAAAAGATTATTGAATATAAAAGACCTAAAAAAATATTATTATCAATCATAAGATTATTTAACAAGAAACAATTTCAATTTTTATAAAATGACCTATTTATGGAACAAAAATATTTGTTTTATAGAAAATTATAAGGCATGAACTACTTTTGTTAAATATAATTCAAAATTATTACCATGTTCACATTAAAAACTATGGTCACATAAGTTATTTTGTAATTAAAATGACTAAAAAGCAAGTTTGCTCATAAAAACTACAGATTTCAAGAAACGTGTTTTGATTTCCTACCATCAGGAGAGTAAATTTATCTTAAAATGAATTTTGACTATCATACTCATTTAGTAAAAATTTTCTCTCACTCTTTTAAATGAGTAAGTTTCTATCAAACATGATACTATAAAATCTTTATCACATAAATTCTTGAGTTATTATTAAACACAATAATTTAATCATAATAAATAAATTACTATGAATTATCAAACATAATAATCTAATAATCATAGTGAATAAGTCACTCTATGATGCCAAAAGAAACTTGACTTAATGGTAAATTAATCATGATTTTTTTTTGTTGAAATAGGATAGAATCTATTCCTTAATGAATAAGAAAATCACATAAGTGTCCATAAAAGGTTGAAGGAAACTGGGATAGTCTTCTACCTAGTATTGCCTTTCATTTACTAATAGACCTTGCTTTGCTAAAAGGTGGGCAACCTCATTTTCAGCTCGTGTAACATGTTTCACCTTGCATTCCTTGGACTGTACCATTTTTACTCTAGTTTCTTCTGTCATGTTTACTATTAGAGATAAATCCTTATTCCATCTCTGTAAATGGTTTATCACTATCAAAGAGTCACCCTCAAGCATTATTGCATGAAGTCCTGGATCTTTAGCCAAGTCTCAGATTTTTAGCAAAGTCCAATGCACGAACCACTGCATTCGTTGTTAGGAATAATGACTCAAATCCCATAACAGATTTATTTGAGATTGATTAGATATTGCTTGATGGACAAGAAGACTTGTAGAAGAGGAATTCTAAGAGAAAATGAAATTTTAATAGGCAAGTTGACATACATAAGAAAAATTTTAAGAAGAAAATGATTCTTAATCAGCAAGTTTGTATGCACCTATATATATATATATATATATATATATATGAAGTCTTTATAGGGTTAGATGTGAGAAGAATATGTAAGAGAGTTGCAAGGTTTTATGGAATAAACACTCTATAAGACTACATGAGATTTACGTCTTATGGGTATATATGTTTGAATGTTTGTGAGTGGACTAGAGGAGACTGCGAGGGTTCACATAGGCATGGTGCATGGGTGCACATAGATATGTGTTTGTTTGGGTTGAGAATACTTTGTAAGACTAAAGGAGATTAAGAATGTTTTATGAATATTGATTTATATATTTTTATTTTGGATCTAAATAACTCTTTCACTTTATTTATATGTATAAATTTATATATTTTTATTACATCCAAATAAATTTTTAAATTTTAATTTTCACTCAAAAAAATTATTAACTTTTAACTTATATTTAAATAAGTTCTTAACTTTTATTTCACACTTAAATAAGTCTCTAATATAAATTATTTTTTGTTTAAAATAAGAATTTAGTTGTATATTAATTAAAGAACAAAAGCTTATATAAAAAAACATAAAAATTTATTTTAAAAAATAGATTAAAGACTTTTTTTTAGTATTTTTATCTTTTTGTGTTCATTAAATCTTTTTTCAGTTTAATTTTTACTTTTGATTTATCTTTCATTTTTAAGGTATTTTTTAAAATTTAAACTATCAAAATTGAACCCTAAAATTAAAGGTTTAATATTCTATTAACACAAAATATGATTACAACTTAAGGCAATGTTTTATATCACTTTTAAAATTATAATAAAGATTTAATTATCATGATAAAGTAATTTTATCATTAATGATCTTAGATTATCATATTGCATAAAAAAGATTATTGAATACAAAATATCTAAAATAATATTATTATCAATCAGAAGATTATTTAACAGGAAACAATTTCAATTTTTATAAAATGACCTATTTATGAAACAAAAATCATTTGTCTTATAGAAAATTATAAGGCGCGAACTAATTTTGTTAAATATAATTCAAAATTATTGCCATGTTCACATTAAAAACTATGGTCACATAAGTTACTTTGTAATTAAAATGACTAAAAAGCAAGTTTTCTCATAAAAACTACAAATTTCAAGAAACGTGTTTTGATTTCCTACCATTAGGAGAGTAAATTTATCTTAAAAAGAATTTTGACTATCATACTCATTTAGTAAAAAATTTCTCTCTTTTAAATGAGTAAGTTTCTATCAAACATGATACTATAAAATCATTATCACATAAATTCTTGAGTTATTATTAAACACAATAATTTAATCATAATAAATAAATTACTATGAATTATCAAACATAATAATCTAATAATCACAGTGAATAAGTCACTCTATGATGCCAAAAGAAACTTGACTTAATGGTAAATTAATCATGATTTTTTTTTGTTGAAATAGGATAGAATCTATTCCTTAATGAATAAGAAAATCACATAAGTGTCCATAAAAGGTTGAAGGAAACTGGGATAGTTTTCTACCTAGTACTGCCTTTCATTTACTAATAGACTTTGTTTTGCAAAAGGGTGGGTAACCTCATTTTTAGCTCTTGTAACATGTTTCACTTTGCATTCCTTGGACTTTATAATTTTTGCTCTAGTTTCTTTTATCAGGTTTATTATTAGCGATAAATCTTTATTTCATCTATGTAAACGATTTATCACTATCAAAGAGTCACCCTCAAGCATTATTGCATGAAGTCCCAAATCTTTAGCAAAGTCAAATACAAACCATTGCATTAGTTGTTGAGAATAGTGACTCAAATCCTATAACAGAATTGTTTATGATTGGTTAGATTTTGCTTGATGGAAAAAAAGACTTGTAGAAGAAGAATTCTAAGAAGAAAATGATTCTTAATGGTCAAGTTTGTATGCTTATATATAGGTAAAGTCTTTACAAGGTTAGATGTGAGAAAAATATGAAAGAGAGTTATAAGATTTTATGGGATAAACACCCTATAAAACTATTAGAAATTTACATCTTATAAGTGTGTATGTTTAAATGTTTGAGAATGGACTAGAGAAGACTAAGAGGATCCACATAAGTATAGTGCATAGGTGCACAAGGGTATATATTTGTTTGGGTCGAGAATACTTTATAAGACTAGAGGAGATTGAGAATGTCTTATGAGTATTGATTGTTAAGTGAGGTTGATATGATTTGTATGTTTGTAATTCTCTACAACTAATGGATCTTATTTTTCATCTGTAAATATAGGTCGGTTAGATCGAACCACATTAAATTATTGTCTCTTGTGTGATTGATTCATTATTTGATTTTGCTTTCATTGGTGTAATTAGACTAAGGCCTTATTTACCTAACAAGTGGTATTAGAGCTGAAGGTTTGAGATATAGAAAAAGGTAAGCCTAGATGAGCTCAATTTAAGAGAAGAGTTTGAGTTCATGCTTTGATAAATCGATTTACGTGAAGCATGAAGACACATAAGAGAAGATGATAGTGAGACTTTTATTATAAATGAAACCAAGCATATCTAGTATAAATATTGATGATTTGATGAAATTTGAGTCAAAGTGGAGATTATTAGGAATAATGACTCAAATCCCATAATAGATTTATTTGAAATTAGTTAGATATTGCTTAATGGATAAGAACACTTGCAAAAAAAAAAAAAATTTAAGAGAAAATAGATTCTTAATAGGTAAGTATGACTTACATAAGAAGAATTTTTAAAAGAAATAGATTCTTAATGGACAAGTTTGTATGCTTATAAATAGGCAAAATCTTTATAGGGTTAGATATGAGAAAAAAATGTAAGAGAGTTATAAAGTTTTATGGGATAAACACCCCATGAGACTATTGAAGATTTACATATTATAGGTGTGTATGGTTGAATATTTATGAGTGAACTAGAGAAGATTGAGAGGGTCCACATGGGTATGGTGCATGAGTGTACATGGATATGTGTTTGTTTTGGTTAAAAATACTTCATAGGACTAGAAAAGATTGAGAGGGTCTTTTGAGTATTGACATTGAGTGAGGTTGATATGATTTGTATATTTGTAATTCTCTACAACTAATGGATCTTATTTCTTATCTGTGGACATAAATTGGTTAG